GCATTGTCTCTGAAAGGGTGTAGTACTGTGCCTTCCAATTTTATCCAGTTGCAGAGCTTGCAGTTTAAGCTGGTGGTTATAATTCTGATCTGTTTAATGAAAGACAGGAAGTTTACCTGGAGATATACCTCTTCAGAAACTCAGAGTATTTTCACAGTTTGCTGTTCCTACTGCCTTTCCATTTTCTTCCAAGGTTCTGGATGAAATCATTGTTTCCACCTGTCTCATTTAGGTCAGTGTCAGTAAGCAATAGAAAGGGTAAGTGTGGGCAGCACGTTGGACTGAATGTCAAATTCAACAAAAATTAGAGATCTTTTCTCTCTGCTTTTTTCCTGGTGAAAAGGTGATTCATAGGTGCAAGTAGGTGACTGCAACAGCAAACTAGGAAAACCTAGCATTGTGGGAAGGAAAATAAGTTAAAAAAAAAAAAATTTAATTAGTTTACTCCAACCGATCCAAGATAAATAATTCTTCTGACCAAATAATTCCAAAATTCTGCAGAGAATAGTATGAAAATCAAGAATAGCCAAAGGCTATCTGGATCAAAACTAGACAGAGTAACATTCCTTAGGGAGGGTGAAAAACAGTGGGCAGTCAAGCCTACTCTTGCTGAGAGACCTTGCCCTGCTTTCAAATGATGCAGAACGGAAAGCTGCATCAGAAACAATGAATCCAGAAACTGAAGGACAAGAAGCAGATGGAACACAGTACTCACCGACTACTTCAGTAATCACCTGGTGAGGACATGCTAGTACCTGTCTCCAGATCAGAAAAAAAACTTCCAGGCAATTAACAAGATGGACAAGTCAGTTGAGAGAAGAAACTAAACCCACACTTTTTACAAGCTCCTTTTTTCCCTTTGGCCTTATCTATTCTACTCCCACAGCCCTGTTTAAGAAGTGTTCGACAAAAATGAAGCACCTGTGCAAAAGAGTTTTGCAGGACATAATCCCAGCCATGATACCCATAACTGTAGAGTAACACTGCAGCTCTCAGCCTGGTTCTCCCTGCCAGTTTCCCCACTTCCCCACAGCATAGCAAGGTTTTATGCTGCAGTTCCATGAAAACCTCATTCAGACTATCTGCAAAGGTCCCTAGAATTATATGACCGTACAAATAAAATCACCACTCTTAAAGTAACCGTGAGAGTTGGCTCCCTACTGAACTGTGTTGGCAATGAAAAGATGTATGATGACACCATGAGATATATCTGTGACATCACATTCTAAGACTACTGAATTACATCATTCCTGCAGCTGGCATCATAACATTTCACAAGTTCCGTATTTGCCTGCTATTTTAGAAGTGATTCTAAAAAATTCTCACATTATCACAACACTTTTTCAAAGGTAGTTCAGAAAACTTTTCTCCTTGCAGTACTTGGGTACCTCACCATAAAGACGCTTTACAAATCACTGCTGAGCACCAGGCTGAACAATGTCCTAGAAATACTGGACAGATTGCAACCAGTATGTGGATCCTTTCCAGAGAGTTCTTTATATTTGGCCCAAAGCTTTTTCACTCTCACACAGCTCTTTCTTTGTTTCTTAAGACTGCATCCTGCTCCTACTCTTCATTCTTCAGCATAATGACTTCAGGTGTCTATGCTCACACCACATTTGTGACACTGCAATTTGTTCTTCTGAACAAAGAACATGGATTTTATGCTAAGTTTGGAAAAGGAAAAACATAGAAAGAAATAACCAGAAACAATAGAAAAAAAAAAACAAAGCTAATTTGTTTCCAAGGGTTGTTTTCTTTTTTTTTTTGAAAACAGATTTACATGAATACTTAAGTGAGGTAGAAGACTTCATTTCAGAACATCACATTCAATTTTATTTAAAGAGAACTTTATCTGAAGTATTAAACATGCAAGTGACAACACGCATACAGGATCACTTGCTTAGTCACAATCATGATGCTTGAAAGAGACAAAATCACAAATGCTATGCTTGAAAGACAAAATTCATAAAATAGCATTTTGATAATGGGCTTTAAAAAGATACAATGTCAGAAAAAGTAGGGAAAAGGAAGACACTTTGGAAGATCTGAAGTTATAGAAGAGGCTGTACTTAGGAAGCAGCCTGGAAATAACGAGACAGGTGGATAGGGAAGTAGGAAGCAGAGGAAGAACCACCAAATAAGCCATTAAATCTAAACTGGAAGAGAGAATTTTAACCAACTCCACAGATGAGACAACGATGAGAATAGAGGAGGAACAGTTTAATAATGAGGTAGAGCAAAAAAAGTAGACAAACTTTATAGTTCTTAACTAGGTTTGTTGACTGAGGTGATGATTTTGGAAGAACAGGTCAGTGATGATATTAAAAAATCAAGGCACAAATGCAAGTCTAAGCACCAGCATTTTTCATAAAATCTAAAAAAAGAAACTTGTAGATGTGAAGCCACAAACACCTGCAAGGTTTCAGAGAAAAACTTCTGATGAAAGAAAACACTGAGACTTCTAGTAGCAACTGAAAACTTGGTGAAGTATCAACTGACAAGGAAAGAGGGCAGTACAGCCACAAGAACATTTATGGTAGTTGTATCTTAGTTAATGCACAAGGCAGTATAAACTAGCCAGACAAAAAGAATTAAGAATATGAGGTAAAGAAAAGCAAGGATTCAATTAGATGTCATAGTACACAGGTGTGAGTGGAGATTTGACACCCTTTGGTCAAGTATGAAGGAAAGAGGAGAGGTATCAAAACCAGTAGCTTTTGGCATGAATGGAAGAGGCAGAGATAGTCATCCCAAGCAACTGAAATAAAACCAAACCAGTCAGAAAGCAGACAGGAAAAAACAACCCACAACCAAAAACATAATGAAGAAAAATATTCACTTACAATAAAAGCTGCTGAGAAGTCAGGAGCAGAAATAAGCCCCTTAGTTTCTAGCTTCACAAGTTTCTAATAATTTGTGAGGGTTCTGGTCAGTTGGCAACCACATAGAAAGCCAACCAGGAAAGGTTCAGAAAGCCAAGACAACTAGGGGTGAATACAAGAACAATCTTCCTAAACCAGAGTTTAGAACGTCCTGAAGAGACAAAGTACTGACAGGAGAAGCGTGGGGGGGGGAGGAGGAAAGGGAAGACCTGCAGACCACATGAACTGCAGACAACAAGAAGAACAACACAAAAGTAGAGGAAACAAGAACCTCCAAGAGAAGAATCTTTTCAGTGCCCAGTCTCAGTTCACAATAGGAAGGGATTACAGCAATAAAGCTATGTATAATAAGAAACGGTAGATATTCTTTCCTTTTTTTTTTCTTTTCTTTTTTTTTTTTCACTCTTGATGAAACTGATTTGCATCAACAGTACTTTTTACTCTGAGGCATTTCTGTCCCAGGCTGAACTTGGGTTTGCAGCTCAGTGGCTGAGCTGATCAGCCATCCAAGCCCCATGTCATTTGAAATGTTGACATAAAAGTTTCAGGCTCCCCCAGAGGCATACAGCTGCTTTGTGTGTCCAGAACTCCTGCTAAATGATTTCTGTAATTCACCCAAGCATACGCCTAACGACAAGCAAGCACTATGCTGCATTTACAGCAACAGAAATATATGGCATTGAGAGTACAGTCACTCAGTTTGAGGACTTATGACCTCTATATGCAATACAAGACCTGCTATAAAGCACTAAAAAGTCGTTCTACCCATTGTCAGATCTAACCATTATCCTGGCAATTTCCCAACTTCATCTTAACCATATGGAGCTGCTGCAAAGCATAAAGTAGTTGAGATGAATACAGGAATAGCAGTGTGAAATCTAGTGTCCTTTGACAACTAGGGGAACAGACTAGATAATATAACAGCTTCATTTATGCTCAAAATTCTGCATGTAGCTCTTGGAAAGCAGTTTATACCTGCAGAAGCCTGGCCTGATCTACAGTAGCTTAAGAACCTTGCTAAAATGAAAACACTGATGAGCTGAGTTTGACTCTTATACTTCAAAACATTTTTAGGCACACCTCCAAGGCTCAGTTCAACTGGAACTAGATGATGCATCATTCATATGGATAGGAAAGACCCACGAAGATTTCTGCTCCATGAGAACTGCTGGAGACACAGCACCTCTAGTTTCAATAGAGGGAACTTGAAAGGCGCTTAGATACAGTACAATTGTGCTCAGCACACTTAAATCTGAGAAGAAAAACTACATCTTTGCAAACTTCACTATTACACTAAGTAGAGAATGGGTGAAATATAGAAGTACAATTTTCCATCTGCATCTACAACGTTCATAGATAAATTCCAAATATGGAGGTCCCTGGATCAGCTACATTAGCTGCTTGCTGGTGGCACGGCGCTAAAGCACAGCATTACAAATAGAAGCCTAAGCTTTGATACTGAAAACAAGTAAGTTCTGCCATCATTCACAGAAAAAGAGCAGTTTTCAATTAAGAGATTTTCTATCCCACAGGGCATTACAGAGCTAACTATGAAGAAGAGGCTAACAGCCATCACTAGTATCTCACTCCACCTTTTTATAGTCTATCTCAAAATGACTGTCAGAATTATGTCTGGAAAAGAAGATATCCATGTAACAACAACAGATAAACTGTTTGTTTCATTAGCAATCTTCTCTTGAGATTACGCAGAACATGCAAAATAGCATTTGTGATTCATTTCAGGTGGAGATCTAATCTTAAGCTCCTTAAATGTATGCCACATTTAGCTCCTACAACTGAGTACACCAAAATTCTCTTCCAACCCTCTCCATTTAGCTTCTTTTTAAGGAGCAGTGGGATCTGTGCTTACCTCCCTCATCTCACAGAAAACAACTGCGCTGCTGACCTTGTCCTGAGACCCCCAACAGAGATCTAAGGAGGCTGTTTTGGCATCAAGCTCAGGATGCTCCAGTTGGAATTATTTCCCCTACCTTGTTATGGCAATGGGAAACCAGTCACAGTACCATCATACTTAATGAGAACGCTAAATAGCAATGAGAGCTGCAGCCGCAATTCATGCTATCAAATAAATACACTGACGAAGGCTCAGCCAAGTCAATGTGCTAAATGGACAAGCAAGACATTCTCTCCTCGAATGAAAATCTGGTTTATGTGACGTGTGAACACCTGTTGATAATCCACTTTGGGCCGTCTTTTTCTCCGTGACTGGCTTCTTGCACGGGTACCACCAGCACTGGCACCCTCCATGTGGGCAGTCCCGCTACCCACATCAGCTTCACCTCTGGCAGCCAGATGCAAACTGTCACCTGGGATCTTCTTTTCTCCAGCTCTGCCCAAGCGTTTCTGTCTCTCGCGCTCATCTTCTGCTCTCCCTCGTCCTGATCCAGCTTTCCATCCAAGCGTCTGAGAGTCACTTGTCAGGGCTAGCTCCTCTGAGACAGTCTTTGAGTCAGCTCCCTTCTTTACTGAGGACTCCTGCAGTTTGAGTCTGTCAAAAAGCTGTAAAAGAACATTTGCGTATATGACCACATTCAGGAAACAAGAGAGGCCGCTTGTTTGGCATTTCTATGTGGTATTTGTGTATATGATCCCAAATCAGAGCTCACGATACACAATTAGTGAAGAATCTTTACCAGCAATAAATACTATGTTTTCTTGCCAAAGTCAAACCGTGATATAAGGTGAATGGATCTCTTGCATGCACGAGTCTCTTTATGTGAGCACCGAGGAATTTAATTTGGGGAGCAATACTGATGTGCAGTAGCATTTAACTTTGGTCAGGAACAACAGAAAGCTACCAAGTTCCTCCATTAGTTCACTTTCCCAAACTCTCTTGTAATGTTGTCAGATAGTATTAGAGAGATTTCCATCCTTGCGTCCTCAGGCAGGACATGAATCCCTAAGATAAGGGGGCCTCAGTCAGCAAGGAGTGTATACTAAAAAAAATGATGGACCTTCTGTGTTCTCCAAAACAAACTAAAAGAGGCTGAGCGGGTATTCTGGGAGGTGAGCAGACTAAAAACAATAGAAAAATAGTAAGAGCTAGAGCAGCAGATCCAAAGCACTGTATGAATTCATTAATCTAAGAATACATGGTGCTGAAACTCCAGTTTCTTTTACTCTGCCAGCAGGCAAGCTTTTATGAAATACTGACAAATGAAAAGGATTCTCGGTTAGCCTGTCTCTTCCCAGCAACAGGATGGAAAGCCAATCAGTGTGAGAGTGGGCTAAAGGAACAATCACAACAACTTGATTATTTTTAACTAATCTTTAAAAAAGGAAGGGTGGGATCTATCAGAAAACAGATTTAAATGGCAGGAATTTGAAAGCAAATTCCTCACAATGAAACTGTTTAAAAGTTTGTTCAAAAGGCCCAGAGCTATGCCATTCAACTGGCACAGCCCTGTCACATTTTTTTTCCTTCATTGTTCAGAAGTTCATCTGTCATCTCTTCAGTTCTCAACTTTGTAAACATCTTTTTTTGCAGCTGGATCCTAGAGAGTGTCTTGCTTTGGAGCAACATGCAGAATCTTGAGCTTCACGATACCTCGACCAGAAGTGACCAAACAGACGTACTGTTTCGTTGGCTGGAGACAAAAAGACTGCTGCTCCATGAACATTAGTATCAGAGTTATGCACTGCCAAATCACCTGGCAGGACAAACGTGGACCGGATCAGTCACGAGTGCAAAAAATGCAAAGAACAAATAAATCAAAAAACACAGAGTGAGCTTACAGAAGGTCAGCATATTACACCAAGCAGTAGCAGCAACTGTGATCTGATATTAGGAACTCTAAAGTGGAACTTCTCTAACACTGAACTATGGCCAAAGTACTTTCAAAAAGGTCAGAAAACTGTTTTTCCCCCACCTTGTTCAAGTCATTTTAGAGTCATCTGTAATAAAAGGAGGTAAAATATTTCAAATGTAAATATAGTTTTCCAATCAATGCTCCCCTTTTCTTACTTTGAAAAAGGAGATACTAAAAAAAAAATGAAAACTGGAGATGGTTATGTACCCGGGTTAGTGTGAGCTGAGGTTCTGCGTAGAAAGCTTTGCCCATTACTGGTTTCCTGTATGTCTCATCCACGTCTGTCAGGGCCTAGAAGAAGGTAAAAGAAACGGAAAGGTCAAAATTAAACAAAAACATGAAGAAGCTTTGGACCAGCTTTGTGTACTAGCATTATGAAATTATGCTCTCTCTGAGAGAATATCCATCCTAGGAACAAGCTGTGCTTTGGAACTGGCTTCTTAATAATCTAAATTGTACTGAGGTATAAAAGCAACAGCAAAGCGTAGCATCCATTCTGTATTACTTGCAAAATTTTTCTGAGCCTTGCCTGCAAAATCCTTTCCTCCCTGCCACCTATTTCCAAACTTTTCACAGCCCCAGGCTCAGAAATATTTAATAGCTGCTTTTCCGTCCACTGTCTTTAAGATCTACATGAGGTAGAACACAGGGAAAAGCTTTTGCCACTAACGTCCCAGTGACATGTCAGTGAAAGAAAACAGAGAAGTGGCTACCACTATAAGAAGGTTGGGTTTTGGAGAGAAAGCTTTGGAAGCTTCTGATATTCCTCATATTCCACCTTCCTGGGTTCTTATACAAAACCTCTGAAGCTGTTGGGAATGCTTCAAAGCTGCTCTCTCATCTAAAACCTCTCCAAGATGGCTAGGCACCTCTTAGATGTACCAATCCAACACCAAACACCACTTAAGTCTGAAACCCAGCACTCGGTGCCAGAGCAAATAAGCTTTATGAACAACAATCCCACATTAATCTTCTCAAAATGTAGTTTGCTTAAATCTCTTGAAAATTTCAAGTTTTCAATATAGCATTTAGATGTACCAATCCAACACCAAACACCACTTACGTCTGAAACCCAGCACTCAGTGCCAGAGCAAATGAGCTTTATGAACAACAATCCCACATTAATCTTCTCAAAATGTAGTTTGCTTAAACCTCTTGAAAATTTCAAGTTTTCAATATAGCATTTAGATGTACCAATCCAACACCAAACACCACTTAAGTCTGAAACCCAGCACTCAGTGCCAGAGCAAATGAGCTTTATGAACAACAATCCCACATTAATCTTCTCAAAATGTAGTTTGCTTAAACCTCTTGAAAATTTCAAGTTTTCAATATAGCATTTATAAATCAAGGGCTGGAACAATAATTACCATATTCCAGAACTTGTCAAATGCAACCAAAAACCCTGTGCAGACTCCACGAAGCCCTTTGAAAGTGCGGATATGAACATTGATTTTCACACCATCTCGGACACAGCGATGAAGTTCCCCCAGTGGGCTGCCTTCATGGACTGAAACAGAAAGAGAACATCACCCGTCTTCAACAAAATACAGAGAGAGAGAGAGACAGAGAGAGAGACAGAGAGAGAGAGATGTAAAAAAAAAAATGTAGAAATCTACTCTGTGTAGAAGTATGGCAGATCTTGGTACAACACTTGTCTTCACAGCAAAAGAAACAAGAAGCCCCAGAGCACTGTAATGCACTGCAGTTGTAACTACTAGACCACCAAAACTCTACTTACAGTGGGGACACCAAAGACTTTAGAAAATATGAAGGTTTCGCTTGACATAACCCATAGCCAAATCAGCCGTAGCTGAAAATCTTTTTGCTACATTTCAAAAACATACTAAGTAATGCTAATCTTAAATAAAAGTGATTCAGAGGGAACAGAAAGCTCGCAGAAGTAGAGAAGAGTTTCACAGAAAAGACAAATGCCTAGTTAAGGCTACCTCAGATTAGGTACAATCTGTTAATTAAGTATTGTATCAGATGTGTTTCCTTTTCTTTACAAGATTTCTGAACCAACAGATGACTCAAAGTTCTTCAACTAACCAAACTGGATAGTTTAAGTTAATGAAAATGTACTGTTTCATTTAAAACTTTCAGCAGCCAGCTGAACATCCTTCAAAGATGTACAAGTCTTCATCCTTCAACGATGTACAAGTCTTTGGCAAAGAAATAAAATTACTATAAGCGGCAGCCACCAATGAAACCATGCTAAACTGCAGAACAATAATGCTTTTAGTCGGGGCAAAACCAAAGGAATTCACTAAAACATACAACTTACCTGGCAAACATAAGCCTTATTTGCACACTAGAAATCTTTGCAAGTGTAAATTATCTAGAGGGGTAGATATTATTTACTTTACCACTTCCACCCACGCCATAGTAAAGCCATTCCAGTGATAAATTACAGCTACCTGTTTGCTTGTGCAAACACAGCCACAGGATTGTTGTGCAATTCCTACTGAGAGTCAGGGAAAAGTATTGGTCTAAAATCTCACACAGTTCTTCATATTAATAAAAATATCTGAGTCAGAGATGACCTCTAGCCTTGTGCTTTAGGGACTATGTATTCCAGGTTTGATTTAGACGCTAGAAGATGCATCCTGTGAGTGTAAAATGTTACCGTATGACAGCTACCTGAAGTATTTGGCTGCATGGTAATTCTTAGCACAGCAGGGAAATCTAAAGCAGTTTCCTCTGAATTAACCTAATCACGTTTATTTTTTGAGATCCATTGTCTTCTTGCCAGCCCTCTCCAGATGGATAGCTGGAGAAAATTGCTTTCACACAGAGCATAAGCTGACTCAGTATCTCCCAGCTTTGCTTATGGGGGCCTTTTCATGAGTCTCTGTGTCACCACGACACTGATGGCGAACTAATGTTCTGAATTCACAGGTCCATCACGGGAACCACAGATGACACCATCACTACATCAGATTGATGCTTTTAATCAGATAACAGGTTTTTTTCTAACCAACAGGATCATTTTAGATTTAGATTTTTTAGATTTTAGACTCCTATGTTCCTTTTACATAGGAACTTTATCTACAACTTCTTATAAAAATCCAAGTACAATCTCTATTTCCAAGTATGCCTTTGCTTGTCAGCACCCCATTAGGCCTGGTGGAAAACACTACAGCTCTACCAAACCTATACAACACACGCGCTTCCCACTTTTCCTTGCTGCATAAGGTTCCAGCTTCACCAGGGCAAACCTCCAACTTCACCTGATCAAAAGGGCAGAATGCATCATCCAAGACCAATCTGATATCTACTTCTCAGAAAAAATAAAACCAGCAATGCAAGAAATTTATTTTTGCAACATACCTCTTCTGCAAGCCTCAAAGCCTGTAATGACCAGGCTCTGCACGCAGCTAGATTTGCCTGTGGCTTTTGATGGTGTAAAGCACCAGTATTAATAATTTTTCAATCTGAAGGGAAAAGAGTTACCTAGTTGGTTTTGTACTCAAAATCCAATCCCTACTTGTATAAAATAAGCACATGCTTAATAAAATAAGCACATGCTTAATACCAGGATTCTGAAGACGACTAGAAAACTTCTGTAAGCCAGAGGTCAAGTACCCCAGAAAGGAGAAAATAAAGATCCAAACTCTGGTTAAGTTCAAGTCCCTGTCCTCAGGGTAGACTTTATTAAGAGGCAAGATTAAAAAAAAAAAAAAAAAAAAAAAAACACAAAAAAGGCGAAACAATGTGAAATAACTCAGAACACTATCAAACGCCTTTCTAACTGCTCTGCAGTAACTGCTTGCACATGAGTTCTCTGCCCCCTGGTAAATGCAAAGCAATTAGAAATAGCTTCCCCTGAACTGATCCAAAACAGGCACTGCTAAAGTAGCTTTCTTTTTACTTTTATGGCTACTGAAATCACCCCTCATGACAAGCAAAATTTTACATTGCTGACACACTGAATTTAAGGAACACGTCATACCTTGTCACAGCTACCTGGGAGGACACCATCACGACTGTGGGATGCAGTAAACCATGTATCACACTTACTTTCAGAGGCAGTTACCGCCCTAGAATCCAAGCTTCAAACACTGGCCCACCTGCTGTGCAGACAGGCCCCCTACTTACAGGGAAAGCACACAATTTTGACTATAAATTATTCTTAAAATTCTCCAGACTGCTGAATAGCACTTTGTATGTCAGTTGTGCCAGTCTTCTTCAAAGTCCATGCTGTCCAGCCTTAGATGTGTGGATATTAAATACGTGCTCTTAATGGAAGCATGTAATTTATTTGCTAGACCACCAGTAAAGTTAATTTTTACAGAAGCTTTTTCAATTTCCATCATAGTAATCCAAATACAGATTCCTTGTGTTAAGACCCTAAATAAATATTTAAGGTTAATTCTTTTGGAAATCCTGTATCAACAGAACCTCTGCATTTGTGCAGAATGCAAAGTTGACATGATGTTTAGGATCATGCAGCACCTATGGCAATGAATATGTTGTGTTTTGGTGTCTCAGCAAGAAAAAAGTTCTGCTTTGAGCATTCAGAATTGAACATTTGGGGCTTTGCCTTTTTATAAAAAGAACAGTAAGGTGATGCTGGTGAGTAGAAGAGATGATACTTTGATTCCAATAAACACCCAGTATTTTTAATTAAATGCACTGAAGTTACATCTCATTTGATAGCAATACCATTTGGTTCTTGGTGTACGTGCACAAGCTGCACCCTTTAACATTTAGGGGCTATTACCCTGACTGCACACATAAATTTAGATACAACAAACTTGTATCATCGTCACAGATGATGAATTTAGCAACATCACCGCTGCCTCCCACTTCAATCCACTGTTCTGTCATCATGTTACTAGAAACGCCAGCGCTGTATTTATACCCCCAGGATGTACAATTAGTAACCAAAATATAGCAGTGCGTTACAGACTCATGCCGCAGTTGTGATTTAACTACAAGCTGCATGGACTCAAATCTGATTCCCGGTTTAAAAAGAGTACTGTTGAAAGCACAGCAGTTTCTCATCGTTTTTTCCTTAAAATCAAGAGGACGAACATAATTAACCAAATAACAGAGGAGGAACATCACCATAACAAAATCAGTGTCATCTCTGAGTAAGCAGCTGTGTGAAATGCGCCGTTCCTCGTTTCTGCACACAATCTTCCCAGCCTTTCACCTGGCACGCAGGTATCATTTTCCACCCAAACGCCTTCATTTCCCCCTCCCGACCCACCCGCACCCCGCTGTCACCCAACCACTTCCTTCAGCTGTTCAAACCTCCGAACTCCCTCGAACTCCATCCCAATCCCAAGCCTTCGGCCACATCCCAGCCCGGCTCAGCCCCACAGCCTTCTCCCCCAGCACCCCGCACGCCAGCGCAGGCCCAGTCCACGCCCTGACACCCTCCGCCATGCCCCTGCCCAAGCTGCGTCCTCAGCCCTCGCTCCCCC